TTCTTATTTGGGGGCTGATTTTTTTTCTTTTAGTAAGTGGAAAATCAAAGAGTTTAAAAGTGTTTTTAGACAGCTGAACACCAATTCAATCTTGGTAATGTTTAGGGGGTATTATTAATTTTTAGGTGGAATAATGATAATGTAGCTAAGTTTAACAAGAGTCTATTCTTTGGAGATATTGAATGAACTTTTTTTTTTTTTTTTTTTTTGAGACGGAGAGTCTTGCTCTGTCCCCCAGTCTGGGGTTCAGTGGCGTGATCTTGGCTCACTGCAACCTCCATCCTAAAACAATTCACCTGTCTCCTGGTAGCTGGGACTACAGGCGCATTCCACCACGGCTAATTTTCATATTTTTAGTAGAGACAAGTTTTTACCATATTGGCCAGGCTGGTCTCAAACTCCTGACCTCAAGTGATCCACCCAACTCAGCCTCCCAAAGTGCTGGGATTACAGGCATGAGCCACCACACCTGGCCCAGAATGAACTGACAGATGAAATAATATGATGTGATATATAGGATCGACTTTAGAATTGTACAGGCGGTAGGGAGGGGGATGGTGGCACTAATGAGCAGATTTGGCCATCAGTTGGTGATGTTGAGACTGGGTGGGCACATGGGGTCCGTCAAATTACTCTGTCTCCTTCTGCATATAAATTTTCCATAATAAAATGTTTTAAGTTCATAAAAACTAAAAATGTTTTAACTCAATGATTCTTGTATTACTAGCTTTTGCAATACAATATTTACTTCCTATAGACACATGTCCTTGGACAAGAAATGCAGCTATGGAAAAACCTGTTGGGAGCAGGGGAGGGCTGGAGAGCAGATGGACACCCCCACCCGAGGGCAGCCCTCCCCACACTTCTGTGGGGACCAAGAGTGGGGTCCTGCCCCTCCGGGCCTCTTGGGCTGGAAAAGCGCAGACAGAGGGACTGATGTCCATTTTGACACTGCTTTTAAGCTCAGTAAAAATTACTTTAAGTTTGCTTTTAATGTATTTTTAAAGCACAATGAACTTTTTTTTTCCTCAGCAGAAAGCCATCATAGCCAGGTGGGCAAGCTACTCAACCTTTCTAACCTCACTTTTCACAACAGGAAAGTGGGGACACTTACACATACCCTAATTCCCAGGGCGTGAGGGTGAATGTGACCAGTGTGTCGAGGGCCTCACATGGTAAGAACTGTAACAGGGTGGGTCTGATACGTGGTTTTTTGTGGCTGCTAAGCCTCTGAGAGGACCACAGGAGAGCCACCCCATTGTGAGCACCCCGTTTGAATCTGAATGGTTTTCTTAAACATTTAAGTTAAACAAAAATTAAGGCACATATCCTCTGAAACCCCTTTGGGCCAAGTACCCTGCTGGGTGTCAAGCCACGGCTGAGGCCCCCAGCCAGAGGAGCTGCCCAGGCTCTGAGAAGAACAGGGCAGCTGGGATGGAGCCACCACAGCTCTCTCTAGTTGAAGAATTAGTTGGAAAATGAAGAGTAGGGGACTGCCCACTCCTGTCCATGGCTTTGAATGTCAAAATGCACCCCCAGAAAGTAGACCTGCAGACCAACCCTTCCCAAAGATGGGGTTCAGAGTGCTCTAGACAGACAGCAGGCAACATCTCCCAAAAAGGAGCTGAGTCTCAGACAAGCAGTCCATGGAGGCCTCCAGACACCACGGGCAACACAACGTCCCTTCACCAGTGTGAAGGCCCTGCCAAATGGCTGTGCAAAGGTGGCTGGGCAAGAGATACAGTTCCAAGAAGAAATCAAGGAGCCATGGCACGCAGAAGGACTCCCAGGAGAGGCAAGTGGCCTGCACAGCCAGTTCATGCCCCCAGACTGCTGGGTGGATGGCTTCCTGCAGACAAGCTTCAGTCAGAAGAGGGTGTTTGTGACTTTGGGTGACAAGACTGGAGGAGACAAGGGAACCTAAACAGGTGGTCATCCAGCCCACTGTCAGAGCGGCCACACCAAGTCTTTGGGTTCTTGCTCTAAGTCTCCTACCAGCCAGATGAAGGGATAGAGGATTCACATCCAGCCACATCTTGACACCGCTGATCCTGGAGGAGGAAGGATGGAGCATGGCACCTCCACCTGCTCCCTTTTCTTGCCTAGGAGGAAACAAGAAAGGAGGCCGGAGAGCCCAAGACAAAGTTCGAGAATGTTCTCAAAAGGTCCTTGGGCTTTGGGACCTTCACAATGCATTCATGAGATTATCCTAAGCTTCTGAAAGCCCCCTGGCTCCAGAGAAGAGGGCAGTCTCTGGCTACTAAACGTTGAGTGCAGCGCCTAATGGCACACTAGAGCCAGAATGCCTGGGTTCAAATCCCAGCTCTGCTATGTATTAGCTCGGTAACATTGGGCAAGGTACTTAACCCGTTTCCTCCTCTGTAAAATGAGGATAACTATGGCCCTACAGGACAGAGTTGTTGCTTAGATCAGTAGAAAACCCTCAATTTAGCAAGGGGCCCTCCTCTGCCCAATGGGATGTGCTACTACTGACCCCATGGGGTTCTGGAAGAAATCAACATGCTACAACCACGTGGGAATGCATTTGAAGGAAGTGGAAAGTTTTCACAGAAAGTAGCCCAGAGACATGCACAGAGTGCTGCTCTCAGCTCAGACCAGAAACCCCAAAGATTTGTGCCACTGTCAGAATGCAGCTTTCTGGAGTCTACCAGGCTACAGGGCTCCGTGGAGTCTGGAATAGAAATGGGTTTACCTAGTCTTCCCCTGGAGTGGTGGCGAGGAAAGGTGATACTTTGAGGCTTTGTGCAGGACAAGCAGGGAGTATTGCTCAAATCCAAGCCGGCTGCCCTGTGGGGGACACAGGCCCACGCCAGCAGGCCTGGGGAGAGCCACTGCCTGCTGAGGTGAGGCCGGCACCAGCTGGTTTGAGGAGCCCACCTCTATCTCAGAGCTGGACTGGGCTTCCCGGGATGGGGAGGAAAGGGTTAAGCCGGCTCGGGCTCTGGAGGGAAAGCACTCGCAGCTATAAACAGAAAGCCCAGGGAGGGAGGGGGCTGACACAGGATGTGGCCAGGGCTCGAGCTGTCTGATTATTAACTTCACTTTTATTTGGAGGGGGATTCGATTCTCTGTTTTACTTCCCATCAAGGAAGTGAAAGCCCAGGTCTCAGAGGGGCCTGGTTTCAAATTGTTTTGTCACAGCTCATTTATTTTTCCTTTTAAATAAATAAACAAAACCACCTCTTTGTTTTCCCCTTAATGAGCATTCAGCAAATCATCTGTGGGTGAGGCATGAACGGGGTTTTCTGGAGTCCTTCATGGGAGAAGTTTGGCTTATTATTTTAAAAGGAAAAAGCAAAGATCTAGCTCCAGGCTTCTCGAAGACTGTCAAGGCACTTTCTCTTTTGCCTCCTCTGAGATATCCACTTGGACCAGCGAGGGGTCTGAAATCACAGCCTCAAGCCAGGCCAAGGCCCCAGGAGCTTCCTTGGCTGGACCCTGGGGCTGGACCCACAGCCTGCCATCCCATCTGACAGGCCCTGACACCAGGCCACGCAGAGGAAGCACCCGGCACCGGCTCAGTTGTTTGGGCGCAGACCCATGGCTCTGCTCCTACGGCACCCTGACATGTCTACTAAAAATAACTTAAAGCACTTAAACACACAAAAGGATTCCATTACAGGTTTAAGAAAACACCATTACATGTTCCTTTTGCTCAAGGTTCAAAACGTTGGGAACTTGATTTCAACACAAAATTCGTATCAAAACCCATTCAATCCCATGATCCCCTTGCAACAACCTTTTCCTGAAAGACCTGCACGTGGCACCCCAGGGCCAGTATCACAGGGTCCCGACCCTCACGGGGTCTCATAATTCAACAATTCAGTGAGGGAGGATGCAGCGACAAAGACTGTAAGGAAAAAGGAGAGTTTACAGCAGCAGCTACTGCTACTCAAGGTGGGCAGAGAAAGGAGCAGGCAGATTTTGCTGGAAATTAAAAGGAGAAATCCAGGAAGGCTTCCTGGTGGAGGTGATCTTTAAGCTGAACCTTGAAGGACTGACACGATGAACGGATGTTCTGGAACCTGAGAAATAACCAAGTGCCAGAGAGACAGCATCCATGTATGAACTGCGCTAGACAGAGACAACAGTGGGGCCTGGGGCTCCTCAGAATGGCATCTCAAGTCCCCATGGTGGACAGGGACTGGAATGCTTCGGCCGTCTGGAGTCAGCTCCGTGGTGCCAGTCCCTGACCTCTGGCTTGGAGACTGGTGTGCCTCTTGAGCAAGCAGATACTACGCCTGGTCTTGGACCCTGTCACTTGCCTGCCCCACAAAAACCTGCTGACCGCTGTGACCCACTTTAACGGCCTCTGACTTTCCGCTCTTCGAATATGGGGCAAAAAGAAGGAGGGCGACTGAGGCCTCTCAGTACATTTGAGGCTCAGAGGCTCAGGCCTGCCTTCGCAGCGGCTACTGGAGTGGCGCTTCCCAGCACCCCGGGGTAGCTGCCAGGGTCCAGAGCGCTCCCGGGCTTCTGCGATGCCCCCGCACTCCCGCGGCCGAGCTTCGCGGTCGGGCTCTCCCGTCGCCTCCCCGCAGCCCGCTCCGCCGCGAGCCAGCACCTAGCCGGGCCGGGCGCGGGGCCCGGGCGAGGCCGCCAAGATGGCCGACGCGCTCCGCAGCGCGCGGATCACGCGGGAGGGCTGCCCTTGGCCTCCCGGGAAGCCGCCAAGGTTCCGCCGCCCTCCCTGGCGCTCTGCCCCGGCCGGCCTGCTGGGATCTCCTTCCCGGCGCGCCCTTCAGCTCCCGGGGCCTCGCGAACCTTCCAGGCCCGAGGCCATCCAGACGCGCGCACCAGGCCCGACCCGGGAGCGGAAGGCGCGACGCAGCCCAGAGGAGAGACAGGGGCCGGGGCTGCTCGGCGGCTCGGAACGCGAGGGGCGCGTGGGCCGAGGCTGCTGCCGGAGGCTGCGGCGTGGGACGAGATGCTCAGGGCCTGGCCTCCCGCGGCCGCTGTCTCCCGGAAGCCCGCGGAAGCGGCGCGATGGACGTGGCCACACTGCCCTCCAGTGGCCAGCCCGCCGAACGACACGCCTGGGCGCCGTTTGGGGGTCGGGGTGACGTGTCCACGCTCTGCCTTTTGCTCCATTTGAAGGTGGGGTTTGCTCCTCCGTGGTTCCTCTTACAGGCCGCCAAAGCTGCCCTCTGCCACAGTGCACACTGACCCAACAGCAGGTTTGCCGCCTTCGGTGGCTCTCAAACTTCAGTGTGCACAGGAATCCCCTCCCCCGGCCCCCGTCCTCCCCTTGACAATTCTTTCAGACCCGGATGTTCCCCAACTAAGTCAGAGAATTTGCATTTATAGCAAGTCCTCAGGTGATGCTGAGCTGCTGGCCCGCTGGAGCCACATTCCGAGAACCACTGGCTCGGCTCACTCTTTCTGTCCTGGGGTTTCTGTCATCCACTCATTCAATGCAGAACATGACTTGCTAGGCACGGAGGCCGAGTGGGCAGAACAAATTTCCCGCCCTCGTGGAGCTTAGTCCGAGGAGACAGACTTGTTTCAACAAATCACCTGTAAAGAAATGCAGGATTCCATTTGAAAAGGTTTTCAAATTCCTGTGAAGGAAAAAAATAAGGTGCTCAGAGAACACATATAAATGGGGCACTAATTTAGCTTTGGAATGGGAAGGTTCTCAGGGAAGACCTCTCTGATGAAACCTTCAAGCTTAGGCCAGGAGGAGGAGGGATGAGGTCCTGAGGGGAATGGGGAGGGACTGGAGCGGGCAGGCCGAGCAGGTGAGGTGCAGACAGACCCTGGCTGTAGAAGCAGAGACTGGCAGGGGCAGGCAGGGGATCAGAGCCTCCTAGGCCCATGCCTCTGGTCCCCACAGAGCTGCCTCCACAGAAGGGCAGCATCCAGGGGAGAAGAGGGCCTGGCTGCTCAGACTGTAGCCAGCCCCTCAGCACCAAGAAGGGTGCTCCACCTTCAGGAACCCCAGCCAGGTGCCCACAGCCCACAAACTTCTCTTTGCCTGAACAGATTTACATAGGTCCCTTCTGTAAGGCCTGAAGGACAGTCCCATTTGATGGAAGCAGGTCTGCTGAGTAATGATGAGTGAACGTGATGTTACCATCTACCCATCAATGCCCTCAGTGTGCCATCTCCTCCCTTCTGCAGGTCCAGGATCCAGTGAGCATTCGTAAGCACCTACTATGCGCTCTGCACCAGGATCACTGCAGTGCTGTGTGAGACATGGCACAAAGGGGCCAGCCGGCCCTCGGAGGCTCCAAGCACCCTGGAGGGCAGGTAAGTGGAGTCTACCCTCCCGGCCCCAGTCTCAGCTCCAGCCTGATGTGTGCGCTCCTACCCTGCCCAAATGTCCCTGGGGCCGCTCTTTGCAGTTGGGCCAGGCTGACAAATGGCAGCCGGCAATTCTAGTGTGCAAATGCTTCTTACTTGGTATCAACACCAGCTTGATGGCAGGGGGTGGGATGAGCACCAACCACTGCTCTTTATCCCTCGTGCTCCAACAAGGAGGTACCATCCCATTAGTCCTGTTCCCTGCTCAGTCCCTTCTGTCCCCAGTTTTCACATCTGAGAAGTGTGGAGCGGGGAAGAGTTATGTTAGATGCTCTCCAAGGGTTTTTGGACCATGTCTAGCCCACCAGTGCTCTGTGGGAGAGATGGACAAGAACAGCCCTGCCCACTGACCCCATGACCCTAGCGTTATGCAAAGCAAGGCCTTTGGCATTAACGGACTCCAGGTTGGGGGACGGGAGAGGGGAGCCGCTAAAAAACGATGTGCAACTTTAGAATCAAATCAGTCCAACTCTGTTCCTGACTCTGTGATCACCGGCAAGTGGTTTTTAATCTTTCTGAGCCTCAGTTTCCTCATCTGAGAGATGGGAATCCCATGATACCTATTTCATGGGGCTGTTCTGAAGATTACTGATAACAGCTACCACTTAGCAAGTGCTTGATCCGTGCCAGGCACCACACTGAGAGCTTCCCATCCACTCCATGAGGGCATGTGCAGAAGTGCTGGCCCTGTGCCAGCAAAAAGTAGGGCTCCACATGGTTGTTATTCTATGACAGCCCTCCTGCTCTGCATAAATATATTTAACAGGCAAAGGCTTCGTAAGCCCTTGGCACATAGTAAGCACTCAATAAACAGTGGGCTTTATTACTAGCCAGAGAGAAGGGACTCTTGTGAGGAGGTCCTACAGAAGGAGAAATATGGAGGAGTGGCTGACCCAAGATGATGGCTCACACACCTCTCCCAGGAGGGTCAGCCCCATGCCTAGCTAGGCAGTTCCCTGGCTAGGACTAGGACGGCAGCTCTTACTCACTCTTCCCAGAGAGTAGCTAATTAGCCTCCCAGCAGCCAGGAGCTCCCCAGATGAAAGGTGCTTAATACAAGCTCAAGGCGTAACCCCCATATTTATAACTAAGGTTCCCTGGGGTGAGGAAGGCCCCAGGGCAGAGAGACAGGCCAGATCAGGGCCTCGCCTTGTTTATGACGGAGGTTCCCAGGGAAGAGAGCCGGCTGGGGTGGCTGTGAGCCTGAGAAAGGGCTCTGGGTGGTGGGTGTGGGCTGCAGAGGGAGCCCCTCCCTAGGAGTGGGCGGGGCCCAGTGGCAGAGGAGGCAGAGTGAATGCTTCAGGGCCCAAGCTGTCTCCCAGAGTGGGAGCTCCAAGGTCAGGAGACAGCCTAGGATAGGGTAGATCAATGTGAGGCTCTGCTCCTGGGCTGCCAGGTCAGAATTCCAGTTTTGCTATGGCCATTCCAAGTCCCAGAGCCTCAGCTTCCTCATCTGTAAAATGGGGATAATGGTAACATTGACCTCACAGCTATTTACTGACAACACTTAGTACAGACAGGACCTGGCACCCACTATGTAAAGAATGAGGATTCATGCATTTGTTCATTCAACAGATATGTATTGAGCACCTGCTGTGTGCCAGGCACTGGGTGTTAGAAATACAGTCATGAGGCCGGGTGTGGTGGCTCACGCCTATAATCCCAGCAGTTTGGGAGGCCGAGGTGGGTGGATCACGAGGTCAAGAGATCGAGACCATCTGGTTAACATGGTGAAACCCTGTCTCTACTAAAAATACAAAAATTAGCTGGGCCTGGTGGCGCATGCCTGTAGTCCCAGCTACTAGGGAGGCTAAGGCAGGAGAATTTCTTGAACCCAGGAGGTGGAGGTTGCAGTGAGCCGAGATCGTGCCATTGCACTCCAGCGTGGGTAACAAGAGCGAAACTCCATCTCAAAAAAAGAAAAACAAAAGAAATACAGTCATGAACGAAACAGATCCAGTATCCCTTTGATTCTATAGGGAAGACAGACAACAGACACAAGAACCGAGAGCTAGGAAATACACTGCCTGGCAGTGACTGCACTGTGGGAATCGGGTATGAGGATGGGGTCAGGTGCTCGATACAGTGGCGGAAGAGCAGGTACCCAGGCAGATATGGGGAGATTCAGAAATAGTGGGGTTGAAGGGCCAACCCAAAGTGCGCAGCAAACCAGAGGCAGGAGCCTGGGACTGAAGCACAGGAGTCTTCACCCACAGCTGCCACAGCAGCCCTTGCAGCTCCCTCTGCCTCTCACTAAGGGGTGTGCCCAATGAAGCCACCCGCCCTCACCTCCCCCTTGGCTCCAGCACCTGACTCCTGCAGTCTGGAGTCCAGCAAGGCAAGTAACTGACACAGCTCCCGCGTCCTGACAGCTTCCATTCTTTGACATTCACCAGCGTCACTGGCTGAGCTCGGGCTACACGGCCATCTTGTCTCTGAGTCCTCCCAACCAACTGGTGAGGTCCGTAGCAACCCTGTGTTTTTGTTTTGTTTTGTTTTGTTTTTGAGATGGAGTCTCACTCTTCTCGCCCAGGCTGGAGTACAGTGGTGCGGTCTTGGCTCACTGCAACCTCCACCTCTCAGGTTCAAGTGGTTCTCCTGCCTCAGCCTCCTGAGTAGCTGGGACTACAGGCATGCGCCACCACGCCCGGCTAATTTTTTGTATTTTTAGTAGAGATGGGGTTTCACTGTGTTAGCCAGGGTGGTCTCGATCTACTGACTTTGTGATCCGCTGTCTTGGCCTCCCAAAGTGCTGGGATTATAGGTATGTGCCACCACACCTGGCCAACCCTGGGTTTTTTTTTTTTTTTTTTGCCAAGGTGAGGTTCACATAACATAAAATGAAGCATTGTAAAATGAGCACTTCAGTGGAATTTAGTGCGTTTGCAGTGTTGTGGAACCTCCACCTCTGTCTAGTTCCAAAACATTTTTATCACCCCAAAAGGAAACCCATACCCACTAAGCGGTTGCTCTCCTTTCCCTCCTCCCCCAGGCCCTGGAAACCACCTTCTACTTCCTGTCGCTATGGGGTTGCCTGTTCTGGATACTTCACCTATCCAGAGCTTGGGGTCTGACCTCTGTCACTTAACATCATGTTTTCGAGGTTTATCCGCATTGTAACATGTGTTGGTATTGCATCTCCATCTATGGCTAAATAATGTTCCATTGTCTGTAAGCACCCCCATCTTACAGATGAGGAGACAGGCCTGAGGTGCTGAGACTCCCAGCCCAAGTCCACACTGGAGAGACATGGTCTGTGCAAGCCTGCTGCCCAGATGGCCCCATCCTGGCACTGCCATCTGGGAGGAGGCTGCCACTGGGGGCGATGCTGGTCCCGGAATGGTGACCTGACCCCATCTGAGGTTCACTTCTCAGCACAGGTTCACAGGTATGGGTACTCTGGACTCCCAGGCACCCTGCTCCGGCCAAGACCACAGCGTGGCCACAGAGGCCACCTCCTTGGGGGAATTCCAGCCCCTGGCCAACTACAGACCATAGCACTCCCAGGGGTTCAGCCCTTTCTCACAACTGGGTTGTGACAGCTGGGAGGTATTCAGCCCTGGGGTAGCCTGGCGGGCAGGCCAGGTTGGGAACCTATCCCCAGCTGGCTTCCCAAGGCAACATGGCCAGACCCGTCGGGCAAGTGGACCACTCAGGTGGCACACATGTACTGAGCGCCCACTCTATACCAGCCTGGCACCACCAGGCCTCCAAGAAGCTCCCTTTCTGATGAGGATGAGCCACCCCAGAACAGAAACTGGGTGCTGGGGCCAGGACCAGGACAGAGGGGCGCTCCCAAGAATGAGCGCTGGCACTGAGCACAGGGAGCTCCCCGCCGGCAGCACCTGACACAGCACACACCGGGGCTCCCTGGCCTCAGGAAAGTGGGGCTGCCACATCAAGAAGGCCACGACACCAGGGGCCCTGCCAACGTGCAGCCTCAGGTGGAAGGCACGGATGCGGCAGTACGCAGGACCCTAGCATGCCTGTCTGGGGATGCCCACCTCAGCCCACTTGATGGCCAGTTGAGACTCAGTGTGCACCGTCCACGCACCCTGTTCTGACACTGCCTAGTGTCCAGTTATTCATTCATTCCACTCATTCATTTGGGGCCACTCTACTGAACAATGAGGATATAAAGTTGTAAAAACAAAACAAACATGTTGCTGTCCTCTAGAAGCTTAAAATACAGCAGACTGAGAAGGCAACTAGTAATGACCACCTGGCTAGGGGCAAGGAGACCAGAGGCAGGGCCTAGCCCATGGACAGCTGCAGCTGGAGTGTGTGTGTGTGTGTGTGTG